GATCTAGACTGAACACAGCAGACCTCACAAGCCATGTAGGCTGCTACACATCAAGGCACTCTTTCTAGTACAAGCACTTTTGGGTCTATTTCTGCAGGAAAGGATTTGACAGGGTGGAGAGTGGGGAATCCTTGTACACAGGAAGCAGTTAAGTCATTTAAGGTGTTTTGTTATTTTAGTTTAGGTTCAGGACATACCTCCAATCATTTCTGTGGAACTACAGTTCTGGGGAACTACAGACCTATCAGTCTGACCTCAGGGATGGGGAAGGTTATGTAGCAGATCATCTTGAGTACCATCACACAGCACATACAGGACAACCAGGGGATCAGACCCAGCTAGCATGAGTTTATGAAAGGAAGGTCCTGCTTGGCTAACCTGGTCTCCTTCTATGAAAGGGTGACTTGCTAGGTGGATGAGGAAAAGGCTGTGGATATGGTCTACCTGGACATAAGTAAAGCCTTTGACACTGTTTCCCACAGCATTCTCTAGGAGAAACTGACTGCTCATGGCTTGGATGAGTGTACTCTTTGCTGCGAAACAAACTGGCTAGATGACTCAGCCCAGAGAATTTTGATGAATGGTGTGTTGATTGCTGATCACAGTTCATGGCTGGTCATAAGTGGTGTTCCCCAGGTCTCAGTACTGGAGCCACTTTTGCTTAATATCTTTATCAATGATCTGGATGAGGGGATGGCATGCAATCTCAGTAGACAACACCAATTGGGTGGGAGTGTTGATCTGATTGAGGGTAGAAAGGTTTTTAAGAGGAATCTGGACAGGCTGGATCAATGAGCGAAGGCCAATTATATGAGGTTTAGCAAGGCACTTGCACTTGTCACAACAACCCCATCCAACACTACAGGCTTGGGGAAGAATGTCTGGAAAGCTACCTGATGGAAAAGAACCTGGGGTTGTTGGTTGACAGACAGCTGAACATGATCCAGCAGTGTGCCCACGTGGCCAAGAAAGCCAATGGCATCCTGGATTGTATCAGAAATAATGTGCGCAGCAGGACTAGAGACATGATTGTCCCTCTATACTTGGCACTGGTGAGGCTGCACCTCAAATTCTGCGTTCACCTTTGGGCCCTTCACTACAGGAAGGACACCAAGGTGCTGGAGTGTGTCCAAAGAAGGGCAAAAAAGCTGGTTAAATTGTCTTTTACAGCAGGGGCCAGATTAAGTTCTAGTTGGGCTTGGGCCCTTCTAATTTTCTCTCTGTATAACCTCACAACATCTTTGAAGTCCATGTGAGTTACCTGCCTCCTCCCAAAGAGCATAAACTCTCCTTCTTTTCCTGAGTTCCAGACAAAGCTCTCTGTTCAACCAGGATAGTCTTCCCTGTTGGCTCATCTTTTTGCTCCTATGTGTTTGGGATTTCCTTCCTGAAGAATATCCAGCTTCCCTGGACTTCTTTGCCCTTCAGTACTGCCTCCCAAGGGTCTGTCTTAATCAGTCTCCTAAACAGGTCAAAGTCTGCCCTCCAGAAGTCCAAAGTGGCAGTTCTGCTGAACCCCCTCCTTATTTCTCTAAGAATTGAAAACTCTTTCATTTCATGATCACTGTGCCCAAGATGGCCTCCAACCACCACATCATCCACTAGTTCATCTCTGTTCACAAACAGCAGGTCCTGCAGTGCACCTCCCCTAGTTGGCTCACTCATCAACTGCGTCAGGAAGTTCTTTTTCACATACTCCAGGAACCTCTTGGACTGTGTTCTCTCTGCTGTGTTGTATTTCCAGCAGACATCTGGTAAGTTGAAGTCCCCAACAAGAACAAGGGTCAGTGTTTGCAAGATTTCTCCCAGCTGCTTATAGAATATTTTGGCTGCATCCTGGTTGTGTGGTCTGTAACAGACTCCCACTAGAATATCTGCCTTGTTGGCCTTCCTCTTCTCTTTTAATGACCACAATAGGAAAGACTTGGTTGTAGCTGATGTGATCTGATTTGGAACTCATGCATGTGGGGTGTTTATACACACTGACCACAGGAAGCATGTCTGCATATACCTGCAAGTGTCCCATGCAAACAAAGTAACATTCCTGTGGCTGAGCCACAGGATTGCAACAATGGAATTCAGTATTTTACCAAATTAGTTACTCCATGTCCTAAGTCTTCAGCTTCAGTGTTTTACTGGCAAAAAATGGACAGTACACAGCAAGATTTCTCTTGTTATGGAAAGAAGACTGCTTTCTTCTTGCTATTCATGAAGTGTGCCTTGTTGATTACACATTTATATCTAACTTAGAACAACCACCTTCTTTCTATGTTTTGATGCCTCAGAGCTTTTTGGATTTTTTTAACTTTTGTAGATTGTGTAGTAAATGTAGATTTTAATGTAACTGTATTATATCCCTTACCCTGTAGCATATTAGTTACACATACTCAACCCTGTTACCCCATTTCATATAAATCCCTCTAAATTCTGTTAGTGTGTTTAGTCTTCCTTTCAAGGTAGAATTGTAGAAAAGCACCCTAGGCCTGAACCAGAAGATATCACACAAACACAGCAACCTTCAAGCCCAGAACTTTGGAGGAGCTCCGAGGAGTATACATGCTGCGAAGAAGATGAAGATGACGAAGAAGGGGTCCCAAAGACCCAAGACCCAATTCCTGAAGGGGCGTGTTGGGGGGCACAACTGGGGAATGGACAGATCTGGGATTGGATGGACCTTATTATAAAATCATAGAAACACTGTCTGTGTGTGCATGTGTGGTATGTATTCCTCTAGGCTGCTGGCCTGATTAAAGGACCTACTCTCTTTATCTTATACACTAAATTGACCTGGAGTCTTTTTCTCTGATCTCTCTTTAGTCAACAATTTCAAAGTGAATGTTGAATGTAGTAGTGTTTGTTATGGTTAAATCTGTACAACTAGGGTTGGCTTTTTCAGATATATTAGAGACCTTAAGTATTATAAGATATATACAGCACACACTTTTCCAAATAATCACATGATTTTATTTGCTAAAAATATTTACTATAGGTGATTTAACTATTTTGATATTATTGTAAGGAATCCATTCTTTAGTGCCTGGGGGAGAGAGGAAATTTTAATATTTTGAAGTTGATATAACAGTATATTTTTATTTATCGTTCTTAATTATTGACAAGTATGGACAGGCTGAAGTTTTGAGTACTATTTGTGTAACTAAAAGATAAGAGCAGTTGAAAAAAGCAAAAACAGTAGTGGTAATTAATTGGTTTGTAGAACCTTCAAAGGTCAAGCAGCATAGAAAACATGACATTGAGAACATAACTGATACTCAAGCATAGCAGCATACAAAAGTATCAGAAATGACAAAGAACAAAGCTCAAAATGGCACCAAATTATAGCCATATTAGTAGTTCTGTCACTTCTATTTTGTAACTGAGGTATTGACATTAAATTTAGGAGAAAATATTTTGATGTCCAAAATCAAATCCCTTTATGTTTATGTTTAGAACCAGTTATTTCACTAAAACATCTTTAAGTTCTTAATAGTCTGAAGTGTTAAAGAAATCAATATTTTCAACCACACAACTAAAAATATTATTTGAAAGGCAGTCCAATGGAAATTATTTCCTATTTCACAACATTATTTGTTCTGGATGGTTTACCAATTTATTCTTCTACAGCAGAACATTCTGGAGACTTGACAGAAAAAGAAATAAGGGGAATTTTTTCATGCTAAGTTTATCAGAAAATACAGAAGGCTAAGAAGCAGCACACCTAGGACAACTATATTCTAGCAGGGAATGACCACCATCAACTCTTTTTTGAAGTACAAAAATAAAAAATTCTACTTCTCTGAAAAAAGCATAAAAAATTTATTTTGTTCATTAAGTCACAGGAATAAAATCATATCCTTTTACAAGTTATTTTAATTGTATATCAACTCTCTTGTAAACAACATAAGTGATTAAAGTCAATGTTTATATATTAAAGGAGTATATACTTAGCAAGTATAATGGTCAAAGTGAAGAAACTTTGCAGAAGACCCTCAACACCTTTTCAGCTTTCTTTTGGAGGAGGGGCACAAAGTGCAGTATCTTCAAAACTGAAATCTAATCTGAAATCAACTATACGTAATTAAAACCCAGCTAGAAGAACTGAGAAGGAGAACAGAAAAGTTTCAACATTAAGGTCACCAATTGGAAGTGTTAATATTGTTAACTGAGTTATGCAATATTGGAACTTTATATTGATAAAATAAGCAGTAAACTTTTCATACTGAAATTTGAATTTCCTATAATGTGTAAAAACCCAAGGTTACTCACATACTGCGTAGTGAACACACTCTTTAAAGGTACAGTTAAAAACCTTCAATAAAGGGGAAGCATAACATCTGTTTGAATAGCAAGTAAAAAAGTCTTTTCATACCATTATGTATATTGGGGTGGAAATGTTAAATGTCTATCATTGCAACACCCGTTGCATTCAGTGTGTGACTCCAAACACAAGGAAAGAAATCAGTGTACGGTACTAGTACTGTTTAAATAACATGAAATTATACATTGCAACATAGTTAATACTACATACATACATTCCTAGTACGTGCTGGTATATATGTTCTCAAACATATATATACACCCAGTCACAAGTGTACTTCACACATCCTCTCATCCCCCCTCCATTAATTCATTCCCACTCACAGTATCTGAAGGTAGATTGCTATGTTATTTGGAGCTACCACATTATAAAAGCACATGCTAAAAGATCACGTCCACTGTAATCTCACAGCAACACTCAATGATCCCGCATAAACCAGGAAAAGTTAGTGCGCACACAAGATTAGGCTAAAAAAAGTCTGGAGTTCCAATCATAGTATAACAATCTCACAATTGTGAAGACTAATTATAAGTTTTATAATCGATTAAGTTGCACAGTGCAAAGAAACATCCACTGACTCCTTTGAATAAATGGAATGATGGAAGCCACATGGGTAAGTTCAATGGATAGTTCATATATACATGTGACCAGGAACACCCAAACCAGATTTGTGCTTTCAGATTAGTCATTCGGAATCACGATGCACTTCTGAAGCATCAGCTCTACAAATTGGGCAGGTACGATTTGCCTGTAAAAGCAGAAATAAAAGAAAGTTTAATGCACTGACAAATACACTCCTTACAGTAACAGTATGTGCAACCCAGAAACAAAATGGAATTGCCACTTACAGTGATCAAGAGTACCCAAAATGGACACACACACACACACACAAAAGATAAACTCAGCATGCACCTGTTTTCTGTTACTTAAGAGTATGTGAAAATGACCCAGAAGTTATGTAAACTCAAAAGAAAAATACAGTGGGAAGGGAAACCCACCATCTCTAGAGAAGCAAGACAGAGGCGGAAAAAAGTGCCCTATAGTAGGACATCCTAAACTTTCTAGCTCTTTATTATGAATCATAGCTTTTCAGACTCTCAGGTGGTCTCTAGTTCAGCCTCCTGCTCAAAACCGGGTCAGCTGTAAGGTTAGACCAGGTTACTCAGGACTTTCTCCCATTAAATCCAGGAAAGAGGCTGCACAGAATCTCTGGTCCCCTGTTCAACTACTTGTTTTTGTGTATTTCATAAAATAATTTCCCCTTCACATTTTAACATAACTGGTGTAAAGATGAATTAGGTGCACGTAATGTATCATAGGCTGCAATGTATATCCGCTCTTAAACTTCATAGAATCATAGAATCATAGAATCAGATGGGTTGTAAAGGACCTCTGAGATCATCAAGTCCAACCCTTGATCCACTACCACTGTCGTTACTAGACTATGGCACTAAGTGCCACATCCAGTCTCTTAAATACCTCAAGGGATGGAGAATCCACCACTTCCCTGGGCAGCCCATTCCAATGCCTGATTACCCTCTCTGTAAAGAATTTCTTCCTAATATCTAATCTAAACCTCCCCTGGCAGAGCTTAAGACCGTGCCCTCTTGTCTTACTGATAGATGCCTGGGAAAAGACACCAACCCCCACCTGGCTACAACCTCCTTTCAGGTAGGTGTAGAGAGTGATGAGGTCTCCCCTGAGACTTCTCTTCTCCAGGCTAAAAAAACCCAGCTCTCTCAGCCTCTCCTAATAGGACTTGTGCTCGAGTCCCTTCACCAGCCTCATTGCTCTTCTCTGGACCTGCTCCAGCACCTCAATATCCTTCCTGAACTGAGGGGCCCAGGAGTGGACACAATACTCAAGGTATGGACTCACCAGTGCTGAGTACAGGGGAAGAATCACTTCCCTGGACTTGTTGACCACACTGTTCCTAATACAGGTCAGGATGCCATTTGCCTTCTTGGCCACTTGGGCACACTGCTGGCTCATGTTCACCTTCCTGTCAATCCAAACTCCCAGGTTCCTTTCTGCCTGACTACTCTCCAGCCACTCTGCCCACAGCCTGTAGCTCTGCAGGGGGTTGCTGTGGCCAAAGTGCAGGATCCGGCACTTGGCCTTGTTGAACTTCATCCCATTGGAATCAGCCCAACTCTCCAGTCTTTCCATGTCCCTCTGCAGAGCCCTCCTGCCTTCCAGCAGATCAACATACCCCCCTAGTTTTGTGCCACCTGCAAATTTACTAATGGTGGACTCAATCCCCTCATCTAGATCATCGATAAAGATATTAAACAGAACTGGACCCAACACTGATCCCTGGGGGACACCACTAGTGACCGGTTGCCAACTGGATGCAGCACTGTTCACCACCACTCGCTGAGCCCGGCCCTCCAGCCTGTTCTTAACACAGCAGAGTGCACCTGTCCAAGCCATGGGCTGCCAGCTTTTTCAGGAGTATCCTGTGGGAGACGGTGTCAAAGGCTTTGCTGAAGTCCAAATAGACTACATCCACAGCTTTCCCCTCATTCACCAGGGGAGTCACCTGATCATAAAAGGAGATCAGGTTGGTCAGACAGGACCTACCCCTCCTAAACCCGTGCTGGGTGGGTCTGATCCCTTGTCCATCCTGTAGATGCTGTTTGACTGCACTTAGGATGATCTGCTCCATGACCTTGCCAGGCACTGAGATCCGGTTGACAGGTCTATGGTTTCCCAGGTCCTCCTTGTAACCTTTTTTGTGTATTGGCTTGACATTTGCCAACTTCCAATTATCTGGGACCTCCCCAGTGAGCCAAGACTGTAGGTAAATGATGGAGATCGGCTTGGTGAGCTCTTCTGCCAGCTCCCTCATCACCCTTGGGTGGATCCCATCTTGTCCCATAGACTTGTGAGGATCCAAGTGGCTCAGCAGGACGCTAACTTTTTCCTCCTTGATTACATGGGGGCTATTCAGCTTCTTATCTCTGTCTACAAGCTCCAGAAGCCAGATGTCCTCAGGACAACTGACTTACTGTTGAAGACTTAGGCAAAGAAGGTATTAAATACCTGAGCCTTGTCCTCATCTTTGATAACTATGTTCCCACCCATGCCCAATAAAGAATGGAGGTTTTCCTTGTCCCTCCTTTTGCTATTGATGTATCTATAGAAAGACTTTTTGTTATCCCTAAAGAGTGGCACGATCAAGTTCAAATTTTGCCTTTGTCTCTCTGATTTTCTTTTGGCAAGACCTAACTATATTCCTAAACTCTTCCCGAGTAGCCAGCCCTTTTTTCCATAATTGGTAGGCTCTCTTTTTTCCCCTAATTTCCTTTAAAATCTCCTTGTTGAGCCAGACCAGATGTCTTCCCCGTCGACTTGCCTTTCTGCAGACTGGGACAGTCTTCTCCTGTGCATTCAAGACTTCCTTCTTGAATCATGTCCATCCCTCCTGGACCCCTTTGATTTCAAGGGTTGTTTCCCAGGGTACACTCTGAGCTAGTCTTCTGAATAGGCTGAAATCTGCCCTCCAGAAGTCCAGCATAGAGGTTTTATTGATGGCCCTCCTTGCATCCCTGAGTATTGAAAACTCTATTATTTCATGGTCACTGTGCCCCAGACGGTCTTTGACCACCACATCTCCCACCAGCCCCTCTCTGTTTGTGAACAGAAGGTCTATCAGGGCTCCATCTCTGGTAGGTTCCTTTACCAGCTGGAGCAGGCAATTATCCTCCATACACTTTAGGAATCTCCTAGACTGCCTCTTCGCTGTGTGGAGTTCCCAGTGGACATCTGGCAGCTTAAAGTCACCCACAAGAACAAGGGCTGGCAATTTTGAGACATCCACCAGCTGCTTGTAGAATAATTCATCATCCTCATCATCCTGGTTGGGTGGTCTGTAACAGACTCCCACCAGGATATCAGCTATCAGGATAACTTGCTCTTCTTTCAGTCAAGCTAGCTTTCTGTAACATAAGAAACGTTAAATAGAAATATTCTAGCTGAAATGAACCACATTTAGAAAAAAAGGATTTACAACCTGAGCCTTCAGGATGAATACAGGTCATGTTTCCAAGTTTTTCTTTGGAACTATGCCTAAATCCTGATTAAAAAGAAAGATTTCTCATGTATTCCTTTGACTTAAGGAGTTAGGATATCAATAAAGAATCAAATATTGTGAAACATGATAACATTGAGAGCTGAAAAGACTGACAAGCAGAAAAGATATCCTCTTTCTTGTTAATTTTGTTCCATTCACTGCTTAACCTCTTTTTCATGAGTCTTATGTAACATGGATTTTTTCTCACAATAGTCTAATATATAAACACATAATTCATAATTCAGTAGAAAATAGGTTTTCCCCTGGCTATCTCATATTGTCTGGAAAAGTCTTTCTATGTAGGGTTTTATAACTATAGGATGGACAAAAATACAAATTTCATATATAGACATGTCAAAGTTTACTTTGATGCCCTCTATTGTTACATTACCAGCTTTTGATGGAATAGTAAGTTTTACTTAAATTTACCAATGATAATGTGTTCCCTTGCACAATTTATCAACATGGGATGTGAATTTGAAGTACAAAAGTTATTTTACCCCACTCCCTAAACAGTCTAAAACTTTATGTTGACATAGAGTAACTATACTCCCTTTAGGCTCAGATTATATAAATCTTTCAATTAAAGAGAAACCTGCCTAGTTGACACTGTTATGCTGATGTATTTTTTCTAAAGTCAGTCATCCTTTAACCAATATTAGTGTTAAAAGTCAACAATTTCTAAACTTGGTTAGAAGCATTAGCACAACACGACCTCACAAATATTACAGTTCATTTCAGATTACTAAAAAAAGAATGCCCCAAAACTATTTTTTCTGCATTTTTCTGATCTCTAAGGGCTATCTTCATTACCCTTTGATTGCCAATTGAAAGTGTTTAATGTAACATAAGAACTGCCATATTGAGTCCAACCAAAGCTTCATTTAACCAAATACTCCAAACTGAACAGTGATCAACAACAGGAGGTACATGAGAAAGAGTATACATGATAGAATCATAGAATCATTAAGGTTGGAAAAGACCTCCAAGATCAAGTCCAACCATTGATCAAATACCACCACACCCACTAAACTGTATCATGAAGTGCCATGTCTACTCATTTTTGAACACTTTCAGGGATGGTGACACCACCACTTTCCTGGGGAGCCTGTTCCAATGCTTAACCACTGTTACAACCTGCCCTGCAACGCAGGAGTAACTTTTGGTTTTTGATAATAAATCCCTTGCAGTGAATTAAAGTAAATTGATACTAGATGATCAGTATTTACACATAAATATATATATATATGATTTTATTTTAGAATAATTTAGTAGTAGAGGAAAACATGTATGTAGCCATTTTGGTTGTTATTATCTATAGTAATATGGCAATATAAAAGCATAAATATATCACCCAAGAAAATCTGTAAGGGAAGAGAGAGAAAGAAAGAGAGAATAAGAGTTAAATAGAAAAGAGAGAAAGAGAGAGAAAGAATAAAAGTTTATAGTCACCACTCAGAGGTCTGACAAATTTGGTTGTTGTCGCTGTTGTTGCTGTTGCCAATGGTGTCTTGATCTGTTGGGGAGTGGTAGGGGAAAGAAGTCCATGAAACATAAAGTCCGATGGGTTTATATATGCTCAAAAACCCTCCTGGTGCCTCCCCTGTGTGTGTGTGTGTGTGTGTGTGTGTGAGGGGGGGCTGTTTTTGCATAGCTATGCTGGTTTTGCAGAG